TGGGTGCACCACTGTCACCTGTGACTCCATAGCCTCGCTTGGATGTTAAAATAAAGGACACTGGCAATCTGTAGGGAAGAGGCATTGATGGGACAGCTCCACAATCACCCTGCACTGTCTGACATGATGCTGCCTGCTCCAAACTTTTATCTCTCAGACAATAAATCTGGTGTTTGCAGCTCTCAAGCCCAGTGGGACTGACAGCATCACCAGGAACAACTGTGCACTGAGTTCTGGCACTGATGTGTAACCAGGGGAACAGGACAGAGCCCCTCAGCTGTGGTGTCTGGGCCTCAATGCTGTTCTGTCTCAGACAGCTGTTCCCCAGTCCTAATATGTGCACAAATCCAAGTCTTCTCTCCCAGCAATATCCAACTCCAGGTGGAACCAAGCCCCTTGCTCCACTGTGGATGTTGAGCAGCCACAATGTTTTCCTTGCACTGGCTGCTCCCTCGGCTCCAGCTCCTCGTGATGCTGTTTTGTAAGAGCTCAATGGCAATAAGACACCTGCTGTGACCGTCAGACCACCTGCAACAACATCCACGTGTAGCCCCTGCTCTTGTGTTGCTTCTCTGAACTAACAGCTTTTGTTAACAGCCAACTAACACTTTGCTAGAAACCCCTGTGCTGCTCCCGTGCGTTCCCGTGGGCAGGGCCGAGGCTGCACGTTTTCCTGGAGGAAGGAGGAGGTGGAGCAGGGCTGCCAGGGCCGTGCTGTGTCCCTGGGCCCGTGCTGCCTCCAGCCGTGTGCAGGCAGAGCCCAGCAGCAGGAACCGCACAGGGACAGCAGCCCAGACCAGCAGCGACTGAAGAGGTCGTGCCTGTGAACAAACCAGCAGACTCCAGGGAGCGCCAGCCCCCTCTGCCCACCGAGTGCCCCCGTTACTTTTCCTAAGCCATACAGACCCGGTTCTGATCACGTTTGTGCGGCCAAGAACGTACCTCGTCAGGGACCCCGTTACCGGCTGCTGTCTGTCTGATTCTGCTTATCCCACTGCGTCCGCCGTGCCGGGGCTGAGGG